AAAGAGCAGAGAGCAGGCTAGGCTGAATGGCTCACAAAGACAAGCTTTAACCTAAGCCAGGAGAGGGGCTGCCGAGTGGAACCATCCTCCCTTTGAATAGACGAGCCACTCATGCTCCCCCTTGTCTGAACTGTCTTCCTACCCCCAGCACTTGACAGGGCCCCAGAAACCTCTTACAGACCATTCCACTGTGCGCTTCTCCACCATGAAGAGTCTGGAGGCACGCTAGGGCCCCTCTACACCTTACCTTTATGCCACAATCAATGCACTAATCACAGCACACACAGCAAGGCTGTTACACATGCACCCAGTTTAAGGCACCATGAAATAGTAAACCAGCTACAGAAATGTTATCTACAGAACACTTTTACAGCCAATTTGTGTGGCGCTAGAAATTGAACAAGTGGCACGTTTGCACACTGGGCTTCCTGGAGCCGATACCCAATAAGCTGATTGTAGGTACTGCTGCCAGGGCAGGCCTGGTTCTCCAACCCAGCCCGGAGATGTCTTGTGGGGAAGAGGGATGGGAAATCATAGTTTCCAGGGTCAGAAGGGACCTGAACAGATCATCAAGTCTGACCCCCTGCCCTGGGCAGGAACGAGTGCTGGGATCATAACACCCCAGCCAGATATCTATCCAAGTGCCTCTTGAAAGCCCCCAAGGTAGGGGAGAGCACCACCTCCCTTGGGAGCCCAGTCCAGAGCCTGGCAGCCCTAACCGTAAAGTAATGCCTCCTGATGTCAAGCCTGAACCTGCTCTCAATCTGTGGCTGTTACTCGTGGTTATTCCAGGTGGTGCCTGGGGGAAACAGAGCCTCACCTATTTTCCGCTGGTCCCCCCCGGTTGGTTTATAGATGGCCACCAGATCCCCTGTCACACTTCTCTTGCGGAGGCTGAATAGATTCAGGCCCTTTACTGTATCTACAGTCAGAGGGCTTCCCTCACCTGGATGTTAAATCCTGCACGCAGTGGTTCTGGCAGGGCTGCAGGGTGTGCAGGATGAGAGGCTCCTGGCGGGGGAGTTGAAGGACTTCCACTGCTGGGGCTGACAAACAGCCGATTGTTAGCTTGAACAACCCCAGGTAAATCAAATCTGGGACTGTCTGGGGTTGAGGCCAGTCAGCTGTCCCAGGGCAGTCCAGGGCAGTGCCACACTGGGCTGCAGGCACCTGGCTTTGAATTAGGACCCCCAGCTTCCCCTGCACCAGCAAGCAGAAAGGGCACACTCAGGATCTGATCCCACATTCATGCATGTGTGGCATAGCAGGAGGCACTACTGCTGGGATCAGGATTGGATCCCATAGCACTTGAACTGAACCTGTGCCAGGGTGCCACCAGAAAAGGATGCATTTGGCTGGGGCAGGGGTGAAAAAATTAATCTACATGAAAGTTAACCCAGGCTGCCTAAGAACTGTCCTCTTCTACACTGAGCGACAGAAAACTCCCACAGAGGAACGTAACCAGCATTCAGTCACTGGAACAAGCTTTTGCTGGTGGCAGAGTGACCTTGAGAGCGGGATCCTGATGGGCAGCAAGAGCAGAACAGTGATTTTTAATGATGCAGTCAGTGCCCTGGGCATTGGTTGTGGCCTTAGACTTTAGCCATCAACTTTCTCCCCCTTCTCACTCTCTGCAGAGTTGATGAGCTCTCTGTTCTGTCTATGATCCCTACTGGTCGGCTACCACCGAGACACAGATCACAGATCACACAGTTCTCAACCAGGCCTATTTCCCCAAGTGCTACTACAGTCAACCTCTAAGCACCTGTAGAAGGGTGGGCAAACTGTGAATGGAAGCTCTAGTGACTTCACCCCGCAACCTGCAAGGGAAAG